TTTCAGAAACTTCATAATGCTTAGAATTTCTTGAATCCTTTGAATATATTGAATCCTTAAAATCTTCAGAATCCATAGATTTTTAGAATCTTTGAAATCTTTGGAATCTTTGAAATCCCAAAAATCTTCGCAATCCTTGAGATCTTCGGAATCCTTCAAATCCTTCAAAACCTTCGAATCGTTCGAATCCTATGAATCCACTGAATCTTTAGAATTCTTGGATTCTCTGGAATTTTTGGAATCCTTGCAATTCACTGAATCGCTCAAATCCTTAGAAATCTTGTGTTTCTTGGAATCTAATCCTTGCAATCCTTGGAGTTCTTCGAATTTTTCAATTCCTTAAAATCCTCAGAATCTTCATAATATTTAGAATCGTTAGAATCTTTGGATTCTTTAGAACCTTTAGTATCTTTAGAATCATTGGAAACTTTGCAATCCTTGGAATATCCGGAATCCTTGGAATTCTTGATATTTTCACAATCCTTCGAATCCTTAGAATCCATGGAATGTTTAGAATCGTCAGAAACCTCAGAACCTCCAGAACCTTCATAATCTTTAAAATTTTTTTAATCCTTTGAATAAATTGAGTTAAATTCCTAAATCTGATTGGACATTTATTTTTTAAAGATTCAGTCGATTTCCAATTTCACGAATTTTTGAAATTTTAATTTTTCGGTTTTCCCATTTTTATATTGGAATTTTTCGTTTGTTTTATTTTTTGAATTTTTCAGTTATTCAATGTTCTTATTTTATAATTTTTCTTTTTTTTAATATGAAATTTATCAATTTTTCAGTTTCTCGATCTGCAATTTTTAGGTTTTTGAAATCTTTCGTTTTGCAAAAATTTTAGATTTTTCGTTTGTTCAATTTTTCTAATTAATAACCATAATTTAAAAAAAAATCACTTTTTCAAATTTACGGTTTTGGAATTTTTCCATATTTCAATGATTGAATTTTAACTTTTTCATTTATTCGATTTTTCATTTTTTTTTTTTTGATATGGCATTTACCAAAATCAGTCTTATCTCGCTCTCAGCTTACGCTCGGGAAGTAAAAATGGAAAAATTCAAAATTCGAAAGATTAACAATTGAGCAACTTAAAAATCGAAAAAACGGAATATTGCAAAATCAAAAAATTGACAAAGAAATTGGAGAATCGAATAACTGAGAAATCCAAAAATTACAAAATTGAAAAATTTTAAAAATGGAAAATTCAGCAATTGAAATGAAAAAACGATTAATTAGGTATTATATAAAACTGAGAAAGTGAAAATAAAAAAATCGGGAATATTTGTATTCCTCGAAATTTAGTCCTTGAAATCCTTCCAATCCTTAAAATCCTCGGATCTTTATAGCCTTTAGAATCTTTTGAATGCTGTATGACCTCTCCGATCCTTCGAATAATTTGACCCGTTGGAAGACTTCACAGTCCTTAGATTCTTTAGAATCTCTCCAATCTTTGGAATCCTTGGAATCCTTCAAAAAATTCGAATTCTTAGAATACTTCGAATCCATTATATATATCATTGGATTTACTAGAATCTCTGTAATCCTTGTAATATTTGGAATCCTTGCAATCCATTGAATCGCTGAAGTCCTTAGAATTCTTGTATTTCTTGCAATGTAATCCTTGGAATCCTTGGAGTTCTTCGATTCTTCAAATCTTCATAATATTTAGAATCCTTTGACTTTCAATTCCCCAAATATTTGTAAACAATGGAATCTCTGCAATCCTTGGAACCTCCAGAATCTTTCGAATTCTTGAAATTTTCACAATCTTGCAAATACTTGGAATCCATGGAATGTTTAGAATCGTCAGAAATCTCAGAACTTTCAGAATTTGCATAATGCTTAGAATTTCTTGAATCCTTTGAATATATTGAATCCTTAAAATCTTCAGAATCCATAGATTTTTAGGATCTTTGAAATCTTTGGAATCTTTGAAATCCCAAAAATCTTCGCAATCCTTAGAATCCTTCGAATTCTTACAACAATGGTAATCTTAATGATCTATAGAATCCTTTGAATTCTTGGAACCCTGGTAATCTTCGGAATCCTTGAGATCTTCGGAATCCTTCAAATCCTTCGAATCGTTCGAATCCTGTGAATCCACTGAATCTTTAGAATTCTTGGATTCTTTGGAATTTTTGGAATCCTTGCAATTCACTGAATCGCTCAAATCCTTAGAAATCTTGTGTTTCTTCAATTCCTTAAAATCCTCAGAATCTTCATAATATTTAGAATCGTTAGAATCTTTAGAATCTTTGGACTCTTTAGAACCTTTAGTATCTTTGGTATCATTGGAAACTTTGCAACCCTTGGAATCCATGGAATGTTTAGAATCGTCAGAAACCTCAGAACCTCCAGAACTTTTATAATCTTTAAAATTTTTTGAATCCTTTGAATAAATTGAGTTAAATTCCTAAATCTGATTGTACATTTATTTTTTAAGGACTCAGTCGATTTCCAATTTCACGAGTTTTTAATGAAATTTTAATTTTTCACTTTTTCGGTTTTCCAATTTTTCATATCGGAATTTTTCGTTTCGGCTTTTTACTTTTTTTTATTTTTTCAATTTTTCAGTTATTCAATGTTCTTATTTTATAATTTTTCTTTTTTTCAATATGAAATTTATCTTTTTTTGATTTTTCAATTTCTCGATCTGCAATTTTTGACTGGCAATTTTTCTAATTAATCAGCATAATTTAAAAAAATCACTTTTTCAGTTTTACGGTTTTGGAATTTTTCCATTTTTCAATGACTGGATTTTAACTTTTTCATTTATTCGATTTTTCTTTTTTTTTTGGGTATGGCATTTACCAAAATCAGTCTTATCTGAGCAAGTACTTCGCTTACGCTCGGGAAGTAAAAATGGAAAAAATCAAAATTCGAAAGATTAAAAATTGACGAACTTAAAAATCGAAAAAAGGGAATATTGCAAAATCGAAAAGTTGACAATTAAAGAAATTGGAGAATCGAATAACTGAGAAATCCAAAAATTGCAAAATTGAAAAATTTTAAAAATGGAAAATTCAGCAATTGAAATGAAAAAACGAATAATTATTATATAAAACTGAGAAAGTGAAAATAAAAAAATCGGGAAAAAGAAATTGAGAGAAAATTAAAGTTCAAATAACGAGAAATTGGAAACTGAAACATTGAAAAATGGAAAAATTATTGCATTCAAATTTTTTAGATTTGCTTAAACAGGTGAAAAAAATTAAAAAAGAAAGAAAATACACTGCACCAATCCAAAATTGTGTAAAAAAAAATTAACTCGAAAATGATTAAAAATATGTTTCATTGTACTTTATAGGTGTGAGGGAAGTTCTGTTGAAACAACTTTCGACCAATTTTTCTATAAAATTGAAATAATCTTTACTAACGTAAATTTTGGAGACGAGATCATCTACACAATATTCCTAATACACTTATAACATTTATTTTATTATGTATCTAATAAATATCCGGACAGATGGCAGACAGACAGACGGACAGACAGACAGACGGACGTCCAAGTAGTAAAAATTAACCGCTTGAAGTAAAACATGCAATAAACCGACTGAAGCAGCTTGATGTGAATAAAGCGAAGAAGAGAAAATGAACGTTGCCTCATAAAGTGAGCCAGAATTAGTATATGACAGGTGGATTAATGAACTAATTAATTAGATTAATTATTAGTAGTCCTCTTATAGTATCGCTTCGTATTAATCTAAGTACGCCCTTGCCGCCCATCCTTCCCGCCGACCAACTTACCGCCCCCGAATTTAAGATTCAATTTCATTAGCGCCTTATAAAGTCTCATTTTAATATTTCGAGGATTTGGAAGTGAGGCAAATCCAGGTACGCTCTAGACGCCCGAAACTTTTAATTTAATCCATATTGGAATTTAAAAACGAAAGCGAGTCCCCCGCGTCGCCCCACCCCACCCCCCGCCATTTGCATTTTCCTAATTACCAACTTTTAGCAACAATAACCCTACAACAAATCTTAGCGATTTTTGGCCCTCGCCGTTATTAAACAAAGCTGGCGACGAGCGCCCTTTGTGCGCAATTAACTATTAGTGATGCAGCGGAGCGAGATAAGGGTCCGGGTTGAGACAGTGTCACTTGTCTTGGTTTTGTGCAGGCCTGCCAACACACAAGCCTGAAGGAGACGTCACTGTCATATCTCGCATTCCAGACGTCGCCTCTGACTAGTGGAGCTTGAAATGCGACCTTTTCGAATTCAACTAACCACATTAAAGTTGAGTACGGGGCTGTAATGATGTTTCATATTGGTGGGAGACGTGAGGGGAAAGTCGGAGAAGACGTTGGGGGATTTTAAAGGCGCAGCAGGTGGGATACGAAAGTGCAGCCAGGATTTGCGAATTATTTAGTGGTTTGAATGTGAAACGAAAGTCAGAGGGTGAGTTGCGGCCTTATCAATAATTATCTCGCCATCAAACAATAAACCAAACTCGTGCACTCCAAAATGGCCAAAATTATTAATGCTTCCCAAAACTCCAGTTTCAATTTTGAATGAAATCGATAGCCGCCTCCGGCTGTGTGTGTTTAGCATCATCAACAACCCTACTAACCGAAGAACATCGTTATACGGAAAAATCAACAAAACAATTCATTTAAATTTGTTTGGTCAGAGCAAATCTTCGGAATGGGAATCGCGGATTTTTTGCGATTTTTCGAATGCGAGCTAAATTAAAAATAAATCGGGCTTATTGACGGACGACTGGCACTTTGCGATTTGTTTTGGTTAAATGCTCATTTCGCGGGTAAATATTGGCGTGGCGATGAAACATCTGATGTGTGCTTATTAGTATGGTGACTGCGATCGCAACAGTCCCATTAATCAATGGTCCTGCACCTGCTAAATCCCACCGGTCGGGCTCCTGTCGGGTCGCCGCATCCACTTTCTGCTGCATTATTCATCAAGCGCAGGACTGCAGGAAAACACAGCCAAGATTAACATAAGCGTCTGTTTTATGCAATGGGTTGTTGCAGGAGAGCCACCCTTGGGTCCAGACCACTTATGACAGATGAGCTTATCACCGGGACTCCGAACAGGTGCGTGCTTAAATACCCTTCGTTCCCGATATTCCCTGTATAAGGCGATCCTTTATCGGGCGCTACCTTTCCCCGAATCCGCTAAATTGATACATCCGATCGAGTTATAGACATATTCGAATATCCCTCCCAAATTACATTTACTCGGGTAATCTTGACGCGTCAAATTAGAAATTCTACCCTAATCCTGGTTTTTCTCGAACCCTCAGGATTCTCCATAAATAGCCAAGTGCGACGAGCGCGACGTCTGATATTATGTAAAACCGCACAGATGCAATTAACCTAACAAGAGTTCGTTATTATGTGAGGCAGACAGAATAATCCTTTCTTTGTGCCGTACATTCGCGTTTATTCAATAATAAGGCTCGCCGGAGGCGACTTGACGAACTTTGCCACAGAGAACGCTCCAGAAGTACAATGTGTTAACTCCCGAAATTATTTCGCACGAGTAATTACACTCTCGCGACGTCGCCCGAATTACGCACGATCGAAAATTTTTCTCTTCAAAAATTACGACCAATACGTGCACCGCAATTTTTACCAAAATAAATAGAGTGCCTTGGTGTATTGTGTCGTTTTTAAGGGTGTGGACACGAAATGACAGCTTCAGTATCAAAATAATTTCGACTTCCAGAAGCTCTTCTAGAATCGCCAATGGAAATATGTCAATTTTTACGGTTTTCCAAAAAAATTTGATTTCAAACCGAACAATTCCAAAATCTTGTACCAAGGTTTCAACACACTAGGTATATTTTTGAAATCAGTGCATCGAAATCTATATCCCTGAATTTTTTGGGAATTTTTCGGCAATTTTTCCAAAAATAAAATTTTTCAATACCACCCTTTTTTGAAAATTTCGACCCATTTTGGACCATTTCAACCAAAGACATTTTCTTGAAGATTTTAACTTCCAGAAGCTACTTTCCAGAATCACCAAGTGAAATATGGCGATTTTTACGATTTTCCAAAAAAATTGGTTTTCCAACCGAATAATTTCCAAATCTTGCACCGGGCCTTATATACGCTATATTTTTGGAATCGAAAAATTTTCGGAAACAAAATTCGCCATTGGAAATATGTCAATTTTTACGATCTTTAAACACGCTATATTTTTGGAATCAGCTCCTCGAAATCTGCCTGAATTTTTTGGGAATTTTGATTTTTCCAGAACGAATAAAATGGCAAATTTTATTGGTTCGAAAATATACCTACCATTTTTCCAGAATCACTAAAATGATCTTTGGCACATTTTGGGGTATTTTAAAAATTTGATATTGAAACAGGATATTTTGAAAAGCTTAGTCTTCTTATCGTTTTTCGAGAATCTCCAAAATAAATGAAATAAGGCAAATTTTAGGCAATTTTGAAAATTTAAATTTGAAACAAAATATTTGGAAAATCTTGGTATGGGACCATAGTGCTTTTGAGAATTAGAAGTAGCTTCCATTTTTTTTTCTAAAATTCCTACCATTTTTTTAGAATCTCAAAAATGATATGAGTCAATTATAGGAGGCAATTTTTGGAATATTAAAAAAATTGAATTTGTAACACAATATTTTGAAAATTTTAGCCCGAGACTATAGAATCTTCGGAAATTACCAACAGATTCTTTTGTGACTTCGACTTCTACAATTTTTTTTTTGGTGTTTTTTAATCTTTGAAAATTCCTACCATCTTCACAAAATCTCCTATAAAAAACTAAGAGAAAAAAGACGAAAATGAAAAACGCAATTAAAAGACATCAAAAATACGAGTTAAATGTTAACTTCATTTTTTAGTAATGCATATTCATTAACGATTCGTCCGGATTATCATAATTAATCACTGAAATGAAGCCAGGGTGGGTGGGCGGGGCTAATTATGTCCTATGAAGTGGGAGTAGATACTAATAGAATCTAGGATGTAAAAAAATTAAATCGTAAATCTTTTGTTATACTATTTGCTTGTGGAACTGTAAAAATTGCTATATTTCACTGGACATTTTTGGAAGAACGACAGAAATTTGCGAAGAAATGAAGCCGAAAATGATTTCTAGATGTCGAAATCTACAAGAAAATGTCTAGTTAATCTTCGAAAATTTTTGAAAAATGGTCGAATATGTCAAAAGTGTGAAACTCAATCATATCTTATAAAATCTTAGCTCCGCCCACCCACCTTTACTTTTTGGAAGATGTCATTTGCCAAAAACAGTCTTGTCTTATCAAATATTACAAAATCTTGCACGGGCGCTTTAAACACGCTATATTTTTGGAATTAGTGCACTAAATTTATATCCCTGAATTTTTGGAAAATTTTCAGCAAGTTTTTCAAAAACAAAACTTCTCATTATGAAAATTTCGGCCCATTTTGGACCTTTTACCAAATTCAACCAATGACATTTTGCTGAAGATTTCGACCCCCAGAAGCTACTTTCGGGCCCATTTCATCGATAACTCCTACCTTTCTTCCAGAATCGCCAATGGAAATACGTCAATTTTTACGATTTTCCAAAAAAATTAGATTTCAAACCTAATAATTTCAAAATCTTGCACTGGGGCTTTAAGCACGCTATAGTTTGGAATCAGAACCTTGAAATCTATATCCCCGAATTTTTTAGGAATTTTGTGGCAACTTTTTCAAAAACAAAATTTCTTAATATGAAAATGAAAATGAAAATGATGAAAATCTCGACCTATCTTTGATCATTTTTTTGAAATTCAACCAAATACATTTTCTTGAAGATTTCAACCTCCAGAAGCTACTTTCGGGCCCATTTCTTGGATAACTCCTACCATTTTTCCAGAATTGCTAATGAAAATATGGCAATGTTTACGATTTTCCAAAAAAATTGGTTATCTAACAGAATAATTACAAAATCTTGCACTGGGGCCTTAAACACGCTATATTTTTGCAATCAGTACATCCAAATCTGTCCCTTAATTTTTTGAAAAATTTTAGGCACCCTTTTCAAAAACAAAATTTCTCAATAGTATTTGATAAAATAAGACTGTTTTTGGCAAATGACATATTTTCCAAGAAAATAAGGGCGGGTGGGCGGGGCTAATACTTGATAAGATAAGACTGTTTTTGGCAAATGACATATTTTCCAAGAAAAAAAGGGCGGGTGGGCGGGGCTATCATTTTATATGATATGACTGATTCTGAAACTTTTGACATTTTCGACCATTTTTCAACCATTTTTGCAATTGAGCTAGACAACATCCATAATTCATTTTCGGCTTCGTTTTTCGAAAATTTCCCCTGTTTTTCCATTTTCGCCAAGTGAAATATGGCAATTTTTCCAATTTTTTAAAAATTTCACTTAAGTCATGTGAAGTGCACGAAATAAGAAATAAATTTTGCAGGAAATAGTATAACAAAAAAGTTAAGTACTTTATTTTACTAGATTCTATTACTTTCCACTCCCACTCTCACTCCACAGAAGAATATAATTAAGCCCGCCCACCCACCCTGCCTCCATTTCAGTGATTAATTTTATCCGGTCTGAATGAAATGAATGATCTTATACTGAACAGAAATAAACCTAGTGTTTAGAATGACAAGACTAGGCGTGGGTGGGATTAGTATCTGCTAAGGTAGAACAGATTTTGGCAAATGACATACTCTCCAAGAAAATAGAGGGCGGGTGGGCGGGGCTAGTACTTGATAAGATAAGACTGTCTTTGGCAAATAACATATCTTCCAAGAAAAAAAGGGCGGGTGGGCGGGGCTATCATTTTATATGATATGACTGATTTTGACACTTTTGACATTCTCGATTATTTTTCAACCATTTTCGCAATTGAGCTAGACAACATCCAGAATTCAGTTTCGGCTTCGTTTTTCGAAAATTTCCCCTGTTTTTCCATTTTTGCCAAGTGAAATATGGGAATTTTGACATTTTTTTAAGAATTTCACTTAAGTATTGTGAAGTGCACGAAATAAGAAATAAATTTTGTAGGAAATAGTTTAACAAAAAAGTTAAGTACTTTATTTTACTAGATTCTATTACTTTCCACTCCCACTCCCACTCCACAGAAGAATATAATTAACCCCGCCCACCCACCCTGCCTCCATTTCAGTGATTAATTTTATCCGGTCTGAATGAAATGAATGATCTTATACTGAACAGAAATAAAATTAGTCGTTAGAATGAGAAGAGCAGGTGGGCGGAGTTAGCTAAGGAAAAACTGTTTTTGGCAAATAACATATCTTCTAAAAAAATAAGGGGCGGATGGGCGGGGCTAGCACTTCCTGAAAAAGATTGATGTTGGAGAATGAGATACTTTCTAGGAAAATAGAGAAAGTTTCGGCCCAATTTTCGACCATTTTGAAATTCAACCAAGGACATTTTCCTAAAAGAAGAAGCCAGAAGCTACTTTCGGGCCCATTTCTTCGATAACTCCTCCCCTTTTTCCAAAATCGCCAATGGCAATTCATAGCATTTTCCAAAATATAATATTTCAAAATTAATAAATCCAAAATCTTGCACCCGGGCCTTAAATATGCTATTTTTTTTGGGAATCAGAGCGTCTAAATCTATGTCCGGGAATTTTTCGGCAAAATATTAGGTCTGCTTTGCTAAATAACAAAATCCGGACGAATTCGTTAATAAATATGCATTACCAAAAAATGAAGTTAACATTTAACTCGTATTTTTTGATGTCTTTTAATTGCGTTTTTCATTTTCGTCTATTCTATCTTATTTTATTATGGGAGATTTTGTGAAGATGGTAGGAATTTTCGAAGATTAAAAAACACCAAAAAAAATTGTGGAAGTCGAAGTCACAAAAGAATCTGTTGATAATTTCGGAAGATGCTATAGTCTGGGACCAAAATTTTCAAAATATTCTGTTTCAAATTCAATTTTTTTAATATTCCGGGAATTGCCTTATTTAATTGCCTTATATCATTTTTGAGATTCTAAAAAAATGGTAGGAATTTTAGAAAAAAGAAAGGAAGCTAAATCTAATTCTCAAAAGCACTATGGTTCCATACCAAGATTTTCCAAATATTTTGTTTCAAATTTAAATTTTCAAAATTGCCTAAAATTTGCCTTATTTCATTCATTTTGGAGATTCTCGAAAAACGATAAGAATTTTCGAAGAAACACTCAAAAAAAATTCTCTACATCGAAATCAACAAAAGAATCTCTACTGGTAATTTCCGAAAGTGACCAAGCTTTTCAAAATATCCTGTTTCAATATCAAATTTTTAAAATACCCCAAAATGTGCCTAAGATCATTTTAGTGATTCTGGAAAAATGGTAGGTATATTTTCGAACCAATAAAATTTGCCATTTTATTCGTTCTGGAAAAATCGAATTTTCGAAGAACTAATACCCAAACAAATTTTTGGAAATCGAAATCACCAAAAGAAAACGGTATAATACGTCACCGCACTCTAAAAATAATATCTGGATTTGTGTACAAACCGTCAAACCAAACGTCGCGCCGCCCCCGACTTCGCTTTGACAGGTCCGGGTGCATCCATCGACCCGCGTCGCCATATTGCGGATTAATTTACATCAAGGAGGCTTAGCAGGTGCTCCTCGAGGATTAGCGCAGTGTCATGGGTTTCGGGCCGTGTTGTGGTTGCCGGCAATTTACAAGAAATGGCCTTAATAATCTTCATAATCCGGACACGTTCCTGCGAACATCCTTGCCATCACGTGTTTCGGGGGCGGGCAAATCGCCTTCCCGCGCCCCGAAACTGCATCCAGTCGTCGATTTCGCCGCGTTGGCGGCAATTAACAATTCTTCGCATGGAAATGCGCCATTCCATCACGCTCCTTTCACGTACCGAACGAAATTCGGCCGCGTTGACGTTTCAATATTTTCGTCTCCCTGAATATTTATTTGACATTTTTTGTTGTGCCGTCAAAGGCGAAGTAAATTTCCGGATCTGCGAGATCTTTGGACCCACAATCGTTGCTTTATTTCCCCGAGGACATGGAAAATATCAATTTCGGCGGCGGCGTCGCACTCTCGACATTTTTACTTTATTGCCGAAGCCGTTTGGGTACGAATTGTTAGTTTGTTCGAGATTACTTTATTACGATCGCTTATAGCGCGGGGGCGGCGGAACGCACCTGGCCGATAGGCGGCGGAACGTCGCTGTTAATTGTCGATAAAAATGGGCAGGCGAAACTTGGAAATTAAGCTTGCCGAGTTTTGCTTTCCCCGGAGCGTCCCTAAATTTTATTAGTTTCGTTTTCGTCTCCAGGAAGCGCCGTGCAGCACGCACCGAGATGATGCGACTTCTGGGCATGCGGCTGGTGACGCGCCTGCTGCTCCTTGTTTGCTCGCTCAGCCTGATCAGCTTGTTATTTCTGAGCCGGTGCGGACTCAGTGGATTAGATACTTCCGCCGTGATGGAGGAGACGGAGTCGCAGCCGGGAGTTGTCTCAGGTGAGTGCTGTAGGGGACGGGCGGAGCGAGGAAGTGGGGGACGAATCGAAAAATGCTCCGAAAACTCTCACGGGCACAAATTTAAAAAAATTGGTCTAAAGAGTTTAGACAGTACTTCCCTCGCTGTCGGAAACTTGACGACTGCATGCCTATTGTGTTTTTTTTCTCATTACATTTTTGTAGTGGGAATTTAAAAAAAAATTGCGATGACGTCATCAACATTTTTGCAAGGACACGTATATCAGTTGGGATAGATGTAGTGTAATACTAAGAATAAAATTATTATATTCTCAAATTTTCGGGAAAATGAATTGGGTCGTTTTGAATATTGATTTGTAATAATCAATAAAATAACGAAACAATTTACTCACGTATACCTACGTATCAGAGGCAACTGAAAATCGTGTATGTATAAACATTCTTAATTTAAGATGACAGGCGTAACAGCATACGTGAGAGTCAAACAGAGAAACTGTAAACAAAACGACCATCGGTTTTATCGCTTCGATTTCCGCTTATTATATAAAACATTGGGTTTTATTTTAATTCTTGACGGTGAAATTCACAATTGGTTGATTATAAACATGTCTATTTCACATTCGCGGAATCAAGTGAACCCATAAAACAAATGCAGGTCTGTAATGTTAAAGTCGATGTAAATAAGCGTGCTACCCTTATGTTTCAACCGAGTTTTTCCTTTAACAAATTTTGTGTCTACCAAATTGGGTTGGTTGGGGTGTAATACTAATAATAAGTGTTGCCTTTAATTTAATCAATAAAATAAATTGACTTCATTAATTTTTTTGAACCACCTCTTAAGAAAATCTAAAAAATATGAATGGAATGATAAATCACAAGTACAAACTCATCATATTTTTTGCATTTTAGATAGGATTTATTCAGCAAAATTTAAGGGTGACGTCATCAATTTTTTTAGGAGGGATGAACAAATACATTTTGAACAAAAGTTTACCATGCTTATAATAACTTTAAAATATTCCCAAGATTTCAAAGCATTCGGTTTTCTAATTCCTGATTAAATCGATAAAATAAATTCACGCCTTCATTAATTTTTTTGAGTCACCCTGCATATGCAAATCCAAAAATATGAATGGAATGATAAATCACAAGTACAGACTCATCATATTTTGTACATTGTAGATACGATTTATTCGGCAAACTTTTGAGCTGACGTCATCAGTTTTTTGTAGAAGATAACCAAATATATTTTGACTAAAAATTTATTATGCTCTTTATAACCTTAAAACATCTGCAAGATTTCAAAGCATTCGGTTTTGTAGTTCCTGATTAAATCAATAAAATAAATTTACGCATTCATTAATTTTTTTGAGTCACCCTGTATATGCAAATCGAAAAAATTTGAATGGAATGATAAATCACAAGAAGAGACTCACCATATTTTGTACATTTTAGATAGGATTTTTTCAGCAAAATTTTGTGGTGACATCATAAATTTTTTAGGGGGGACGACCAAATACGTTTTGATCAAAAATTTACCATGCTTATGATAATTTTAAAATGTCTTCAAGATTTCGAAGCATTCGGTTTTGTAGTTCCTGAGTAAATCAGTAAAATAAATTTACGCTTTCATTTATTTTCTTGAATCACCCTGTATATGCAAATCCAAAAAATATGAATGGAGTGATAGATCACAAGTACAGACTGATCATATTTTGTACAATTTAGATATGATTTATTCGGCAAATTTTCGAGCTGACGTCATCAAGTTTTTGGAGGGGATAAGCAAATATATTTTGACTAAACATTTATTATGCCCTTTATAACCTTAAAACATCTGCAAGATGTCAGAGCATTCCGTTTTGTAGTTCCTGATTAAATCAATAAAATATATTTACGCATTCATTAATTTTTTTGAGTCACCCTGTATATGCAAATCCAAAAAATATGAATGGAGTGATAAATCACAAGTACAGACTCATCATATTTTTACAGTTTGGATAGGATTTATTCGGCAAACTTTCGAGCTGACGTCATCAATTTTTTGGAGGGGATAAGCAAATATATTTTGACTAAACATTTATTATGCTCTTTATAACCTTAAAACATCTGCAAGATTTCAAAGCATTCGGTTTTGTAGTTTCTGAGTAAATCAGTAAAATAAATTTACGCATTCATTAATTTTTTTGAGTCACCCTGTATATGCAAATCCAAAAAATATGAATGGAGTGATAGATCACAAGTACAGACTCATCATATTTTGTACATTTTAGATATGATTTATTCCACAAACTTTTGAGCTGACGTCATCAAGTTTTTGGAGGGGATAAGCAAATATTTTTTGACTAAAGATTTATGATGCTCTTTATAGCCTTAAAACATCTGCAACATTTCAAAGCATTCTGGTTAGCAGATTAAAAATTAAATTTCAAAATGTTGTTTTATAATTTTGATTTTTTTTCCAAAAATCTGGACGTTTCGGGTGAAAAGTCGATTCAGAGTTGTAAACTACATGTGTAGGACTATGTTATTTTATACAATTGAAAACCCATTTACTATGTACAATTTTGAAGTGACGTCATCGCATTAGTGGTGGGGATGATTAGACAAATTTTGGTTAGCGTTTTACCATCTACATGATATTCTTAATATAAGTACAAAATTTCACAACAATCGGTCGAGTACTTTCGGAGATTATGTGTCTAATAAAAATCCGGGACGGCAGACAGATGGACAGGCAGACGGAAATGGGAGACCTATTTCTTCGTATTCTAGGGGTCATGAAAGATCGAAAAAACGTAAAAGTAGAGAGTCGGCCGACGGACTCGATTACAATACTTCCTTTGCTTACGCTCGGGAAGTAAAAATCCACTCCAACAATCCTGCTTCTTTGAATAACTATAAAATCTGATTTTGCAAAATAGTACTTTTTCTGCCGGAGCGGAAGCAAGGAAGTGTAGTGATCGACTTCCTACTTTCATGTTTTCTCGACGTTTCATTACCACAAGAATACGAAAAAAGTGGTTTCCCTTTCCAACTGTCTGTCTGTCTGTCTGTCTGTCTGTCTGTCTTGAATCTTTGTTGAGTTTTTACCCTAGGCATCCAGATTTTTGTAAAAAAATCAAAAGTGTATAACAATATTTTGCAATTTATCTTTGGAACTGCAGAGCCGAATGCTCTGAAATCTTGTAAACGTTTTAAAGTTATCGTATTCGTGGTAAATCGTTAATAAACATTTTTTTGTTTATCCCCTCCTAAAAATTGATGACAATATCAAAATTTTGCCTAATGAATCCTCTCTGAAATATGCAAAATATTAAGACTCAATGTTCTCATAGTTTTTAGTATAGAGTGACTCAAAAAAATTAATGAAACAGGCAAATTCATTATTTTATTAATTAAAATAATGAACGACTCACTCCATTTTAATTTTTTAGACCTTTTGATTTTAAATGTTTAAATTTTTCCATTTTTTTGTGTCTATTTTCAACTTTCACTTTTTTGATTTTTTAATTCTGTGATATTTTTGGGCTTTTTTCCATTTAAGTTTTTTCCATATTCGTCGATTTTTGAGTTCCTCGGATTTTCAATTTCTCGTTCCTTCAATTTAGTTTTCAATTTAAAATTTTTCAGTTTTCGTTTTTCATTTTATCATGTTTCGACTTGCAATTATTCGTTTTTTTTTAATTATCTGATTTTACAGGTTTTTGATTTTCTAAATCGTAGTATATTTTCTTTTTTTTTTTAATTTTTCGATTTCTGAGAATATTTTTATTTTTTGTTTAATTTTTCGATTTTTCAGTTTATAGATACCTTTGTCCTTCGGTTTTTTTTCAATTCTTCGATTTTTGAATTCATATTTTTCGACCTTTCGTTTTTACAATCAGGTTTTCATTGTTAAATTTTTCAATTTATTAAATTCTACAATTTGGCAATTTTTCGATTTTTTAGTTTCTCAATTTTTCAGTGACTATATCTTTCAATTTTACGTTACTACAATTTTTCGTTTTACAATTTTTCAATTTTGCAATTTTTGGACTTACAAGTTTTCAATTTTTCTTTAATTATTCGATTTTACAGTTTTTTGATTTTTAATTCTTAGATATTTCCGTTTTTTTTCGATTTCTGAGTTGTTTCTGTTTTGAATTCTTTGATTTTTCAACTTTTAATTATTTTGGTTTTTCGTTTTTCATTGTTGGATTTTTGAGTTTCTCGATTTTTCAGTTTTTCACTCGTTCAATTTGGTTCTCCATTTAAAATGTTTCAGTTTTCGTTTTCCATTTTTCCATGTTTCGGTTTCGTAATTTTTCGTTTAATTAAAAAAAAATCGATTTTTCAATTTCTCTTTTCCCAATTTTTCGATTTTTCAGTTATCAATTTTTTGATTTTATAATTTTGCAATTTTTGAACTTTTTAAATTGCCGATATTTGAATTTCTCTATTTTTCAAATCTTTCGTTTCTTCAATAAACTTTTCAGTGTTAAATTTTTCGACTTTTCAATTTCTAAATCTTTCAGTTTTTCGTTTTTCCAATTTTCAGATTTGTAATTTTTCGGTTTTACAATTTGAAATTTTTGAATATTTCCATTTTTTGGTTCCTTAATTTTTCGACTTTCACTTTTTTGATTTGTTAACTCTGTGATATTTTAGCGATTTTTTTTTTCGATTTGATTTTTTTTCTGTTTCGAAATCTTCGATTTTTCAGTTTCTACTTATCTTACTTTTTCGTCTTCCAGTGTTCAATTTTTAAGTTTCTAGATTTTCAATTTTTCGTTTCTCAAATTTTTCGGTTTTACAATTTGAATTTTTTTAATTTTTCCATTTTTTGGTTCCTCAATTTTTCGATTTTCACTTTTTTGATTTGTTAATTCTGTGATATTTTAGAGATTTTTTTTTCGATTTGAGTTTTTTTTCTATTTCGAAATCTTCGATTTTTCAGTTTCTACTTATCATAGTTTTTCGTCTTCCAGTGTTCAATTTTTAGGTTTCTAGAATTTCAATTTTTCCTTTTTTTTAGTTCC